CATTGAACATGGACGCGATAACAGAAAATATTCGTTGTACGTGAGAATACGTTTTTGATAAAAAAACTATGAGCTTATGTTACTGAAACAACGATGGATGTGTATGAACTTCCTGAGCGAACTTTTATCCCAAGACATCTCTCTTTTCTATATTTGAACTATGAGATTAAACGTGATAATTAAACAAAAATTGTTGCCATGTCTACGTTTACTTTATTTCTATAATGCTTCTGAATTTTATGTATCCACGTATGTATGTATATACATGCACGTAAAACATTAAATTTAATCAATGAATTTGTCAAGTTTTTCATCCGATCGAAAAACGTCCAACGTTTGGGTGGTTTCTTGAGTTGCATGTTTTTCACAAGTCTTACCTTTTTTTTTATGAGTTAGATACATTACCACACGATGGCCATTTACATTTAGATCGAATTCCATATTTTTTGGCTTTAATCCACGTTGGTCGATCGGGACTAGATCCGATTATTTTTATTTGGTTAACGAATCGACTGAATCTTCTTGCTATACCATCTTTACATATCAAGAATTATCTCAACTTTGTAATAAACCGAACTCCTACATTATCGTGATAACGTTTATATTCGTATACATGTATACAAATGTATATGTATTAAGAGAAATGGAATAGTTCGACCCTCGTGTTGTCCTTGGATGCTGTCTTTGGTCGATTAGTTGGTCTATCAATGGGACACCACGAGCTTTGTCTATGGATGAATAGGAAATCCGATAACCAAAATGGTGCAATTCAGACGAAAGGTAATGGTAGACATCGACGCCGGCAACTCGAAGCGTGCATAATTAAAGCATACGTAGAATGAAGTATCCCGTTGCTCTGATGGTAAGAGGTAAGTAAGTGTGTGTATGCGTAAATTGCGAACAAATAAAATTTATGATTAAATGAAAATTAAAATGCGGCACGTCTGCGCATTTCACGTAGACATTTTTCTATTTCTGTAATTTTTTTTAGAGTTAATGTTACAAATAACTTTTTGTATTACTATTGTTGCTACAGTATTATTATTATTATTATTATTATTGTTATTATATATTTACTGTATCGTTTACAATCAATTCGTTAGATCGTACGCACGATATACGTATAAAGAAATACACGATACAGTTAATAAATCTAATTTATGATCTTAATATACTTATGGGAATATCATATTCGTTTACATCATATATAAGTACTGTATGGTCTGTTATCGTAGATATGCGATATTATTTGTAAGCCTGAATCGCTCGATTCGTCTCTTTTATAAATGATCCTTTTACTATCGGATATCATTTCCATTCCCGACTCGAACGTTATGTGATTTATCTATGCGGATTTCCATCTCTGACGAAGTTTAGATATACGAAAAGAACTTTGATAACATAAAAGTTGAATAATATAATGACGCGATTTAAAGGAAGCTTTCGCTTTGTCAGCTCAACGTTCAACATAAGAAGTTACGATTGTTAACAATGATACACGATTTTCATCATTTTTCCACAATTTTTCTATATCGGTAAAAATGTTTCAATCGATCGAATGCTTTTTAAGACGAAAATACGTTCTCTTCGTGTACACAAAGACCACTCTAGCTTATCCGAATAAACGCGTTTTTGTGAACCGACGAATTCTATGCGTGCAAAAGATTTTATCTTTTACTTATCGTCGACGTCCTTTCATCGGCAAAACTATACTAAATTCAATTTAGCATGAAAACAAGATAAGTTTTTACGTTGCTCGGCTGTCTTTCTCTTTTTCTTCTACCAACATATACACACACACACACACACACACACACACACACTTGCACACGCGCGCTCACATTAAGCACTCGGCACACTTTTATTCTTCAAGTTATTGAGACGATATAATTAACGGCAACGTTAGGATCGATATAGCATGTTTATCAATAATATTAATGCTTTCATTCCATTTCTATTTCGAGATAGCATTTTCAGAGAAATGCATTTATGTATATTGCGAAAAAAAGAAGAGAAATTTAAGGAATCCGATTCGCATATTTTATTAACGTTGATTTCTTTTCATGTTTCGAAATGGACAATGATTACAGATTTCATTATTAATCGTATAATATAATCTTCGATGGAGTTTTGAGTCGTTAAAATGATATGTGTTAAAGTGATATGCTTTACGATTGAGCATTTAAAAAATCGAAAAACGCGATCGAGATATCATTTATATAAAATATTCGCTATTTTGCATTTAAGCACGTTCGTTAAATCTGAAATATTGGAGATGAATTTTTTTAAAACCGCATACACAAGATCTCAATAAAAGTGACGAGAGGAGCTCCTTTGTGTCTCAATGAAAAATGCTGATCGTGATTCGGAGCAATGATTGGACCCTTTAAGTCGTCAACGTGGACACGTGTATTACGAAATTACGATTCGATATGCTTTGTGTGATAAAAATCGAGTCTGTCTGTTGTCTACGTACATGTAGTAGGAAAGCTAGATTTTTATTCGAATGACAAATCGTTGCTTCGGTAATTTATGCTAGTCTAAATAAATGCGAGAGGGATGTTCGTCCGATCTGCGCCGCGCTCGTTAAATACTTCATTAAATATTTCCAATTTGTCTCTAACTTTAATATACATTTATGTCTATAATCTATATGAATAAATAAAAATATAAATATACTCTCTATATATTAACAACCACGATTACGTAGAACAAATAATTTTACATTAATATACAATCGTTTAATACGATTATATTACACATCCTCCCGCGACGACATTTATTATAAAACCGAGCGAACATCCATCGATCTTTTTAACATCGAATAATAAATTTTATCGACCGGACGTATCTGGCATATATTTCTAACGATAAGCTGACAGTAGATAGATCATCTAACGAAATACGTTTAACGCGTGGCTTAAATATATTCTTTATGAATCGAAGAAAACTCAAATATGTTTTTACATATTCGATCTTCTTTCGATCGTGTTTCGATAGACGCTCGCATGCGTATAAAAGCCAAAAATTGACGTATTCGTCCCAGGACGCAGTTATATACCCTTGATTCGATTAACTTGTACCTTGGAAAATAGCGATAGAATAGGAAAAACATTATAAAAAATCTATTCGCAAATTCTAAGAGTAATAATGCGACGGTAATTCCCTATCCTTTTTCTTTCTATACTACCGAAAAACATTAAAAAATAATAATTATAAAAGACGACGCGTTTGTTCGGGTCGCATCCTAGGACGACAATGTCGTACTCTAACTTGACGTTGATTTTATTATTCGCTTTAGGTTTCATCGCCGGCCTCGTTGCAAGTACAGTAATATTACATAGCTAATTCGTTATTACATATATATATATATATATATATATATATATATATATATCTTACAACACAAATCGACAAAGTTCTTCGGCGTGTTACGCGGAGGGTGCGTTTTCTACGTTAAAGCCTGGACCACGATACGCGACTGTGCGCGATTATAGAATGATTAATTACACGCGTGTAATACATGTGCCCATCGACACGCGTAATTATACTTTATGTTCATTTTAAAACGCCCGTCTTTTCTTTCGAACAATTACGAACGTAAAATTTATTTACGTGTACAACATACGTATATCAAATTGAAATCTCTTTGACGAAAATCGATGATCAACCGATCATAAAATTAACAACGATTTACGAACGATTTTTTAAACTCTTAAGGAACCAAAACAATTAGCTCTCTTTTATTCGCGGAATAACGATCGAATTATAATCGGGTGCTATCGAACCATTCGGTATAAAAATAAATAAACTCTCTATTCTAAGAATAATGCAAATTGATTGCGAAAACATTTTATATTCTCTTACATCTATAAGGGGATAGATCCATATCCTCTTTCTCATTCTCTTTGTGCGCTCACCATCGAAAGGATTACGTGGATATTTTATTACATTTCGAGTCTTTTCGATGGTTAGAAAATTGTTCTATATAAAACCAGGATAAAGTTCTTCTTTGCGTATGTTATATGTGTTAAGGTATGTGTAAATGTAGGTAATGTGTATATATATATATATATATTTGTATATCTATATTATATGTATATCCAGATATATCGTAAGTTTTCCATTGCATGAGCAGTCGATATATAATACATATAGCATGCCAATGCTCGTGTCAGTGTACATTTATTTCGTTTCTTTTCTTACCTTTTATCTATCGATTCGTTGAAAGATAACGAGATAACCTTTGGCCTTTTTTAAAAGAAAAGATTTTCTCGTATCATTTGTTTGCCAATAAAGGTAATCGTTGATGAATTTCACCGATGAAATAGTTGACACTCTGCTAATGGAAAGAAAAACATTTTACACCGCAGCAAGATCGTATAAAGCTTGAATAATTATTATATATATTCTAGGATATATAGATAAGTACGAACAATGAAATATATGGACCCGTTGTCGAACCACTGCATAGTCGTAATATAAAAGGAATACGAAAAAAAAAAATGGAAAAAGACATATGCTTTATCGTATGATTATCGTGCAAATTTGCACAAAGAGAAGAGTATAATACTGGTATAATAATACTCCATTACGTACGTATTTAGCTACGTGAGCATAGGAGAAGCAACGCTTTAACCGGACGCTTACCGATTGTACACATACATATATGTACTTATGTAGATATATATATATATATATATATATATATATATATATATATATATTTACGCTTATGTCATTCGCAAATATCAAGCTCGTCTCCCCTATTCTTGGACTAAAACATTATACAATGTATAAATATATTGGGTGTGTATGTGTAAGTAGGTAGATAAGTTCTCTATATTGCTGAAAGCATTAATATAAATTTTAATTGACGTTGATTCTTCAGCATGACGAGTTCGTGCAGAAGACCGCTAAAGACTTTGTAGATAAGGGGAGAGCGATATTTGCCGCATTGGATCTTTGCCAAAATAAAAACTTGACTGTGCTAATATATATATATATATATATATATATATATATATATATATATATATACGTGCATAATTACCTATTCTTTCGACTTTCATAAATCAAAATATATCTGCGTTTGATGACAGATATAAAACTTAGATATATGTATATGGGTTATCACTTACGTTGATACTTTAATTTCGTCCATGCGAGAAAGAAAAAGAGAAAGAAAGAGAAAAAGAGAAAGAGAGAGAGAGAGAGAGAGAGAGAGAGAGAGAGAAACATATAAACGCACAGAGAAATAAGGAAAAAGAAAGAAGAAAAAATGAGTCTCCATCTTTTCCACAGGGACCTTAGAAAGTCGTAGAAAAATAAAGACGTTCATTGCTTGATTTCCTTTCCTTCTTTCTCACTTTTCTTAAAAGTTGAATCGAGCACGTATGTATGTGCTCAAATAGTTTCACTTACTTACGACCTTCGATGGTTGCCAAGAGAAATCGAGAAACTATATTCCTATCGCACTTACATCCACGACGCAACGACGGAAACGATCGATGCTTGTCCGATGTTAAAGAAAGATACGAATATCGCGTTGAAAAGTTGAAATCAAATTTCGAAGGAACGATCGTAACCGTTTCAGTTCGTGATATCTAAATTGCAACGTTCGAATTTTTCCGTCTTCGAAAGGATCTTTTCAATAAATCAAGTAACGAATTATACCGTACTCGATTCAACCAATGTTCTCATAGAAAATGTTATATATCACGGGCGTAAAGGAAAATTTGTAAGGATTGAACGAGATCGGGAATTTTCTTGCGTTAGTTGTTACGTGCTTCGTACTTCTTTTCTTGTTTCTTTTGTTTTTTTTTTGTTTTTGTTTTGTATTGGTCCATCGAACATTGCGTGTTCAACACGCATCGATTGAAAGAAGAAAAAGAGGAACATTTGTTACTATCGTAAAAACGATTTCGTTTTTTACGAAAATCCATTCTCCACCGACTAGATACAGAATGGACAAATGCATGGCCTGTTGACACTTATCGATCCTTCAACTTTAAGCTTCTCTCTCTCTTTATTTTGCGATCATAATTTTGGCCAATTCCACGAGGAATTTCGAAAGGAAAATTTTCATTGCTTTGTCCGTCTTTTAATAAAGCTTGCGCAGCTGGTTCGTCGGGTAAACGGATCACTTGTTTTCTATCTTTAATTAAAGCGTTAAAACAGTCCGGATATAATGGATCTTTTCTACTTAACGATACGTTACCTGCGCAAGCCTCTTCGTTCGTCTCCTCTTTATCCGTTATACCATCTCATCGTATATTTCTTCTTTCTCTAAGTTTTCACAATTAATATCGTACGATTACTCGAAAATTATCACGTACGATCTACGTACAATGAATTCGAAAGTTTATCGAAAGATCGCTTATTATACTCGTTATATACTTTTTACGAAGCAGCAATGATCTTCTTTTTTTTTCTTTTTTTCTTTTTTCTTTTTTTCCTTTTTTTTTTTTCTTTTCTTGATAAAGAGCGAACTTTATTTTTACTAGTTTGACCGATAGTTTGAAATTCAACGAGCAAGGTACTACTTTTTTTTCTTCTTTTGTCCCATCTCTCCCTTACTGCCCACGCCCTCCCCCGTCCCCCGCCCAACTCGTTAAGATCGACCAGGAAGGAGTCGATTTATCTTCCGCCCATTTTCCTAGTACCTTACAACTCTATGATATCAGGCGCACGAAACTGTACTTTACTACTATACTTCTGGACGACCTCATTACCTTGCTCGTTTGAGCCCTCTTCCTCTTCGTCTTCCTCTACCTCCACCACTTTAAGCATTTTTCCTCCGAGCAAATCTCTATCTTGATATCTCTTACTGGCCGTTGACTTCTCTCGAATGTCTGGCGATCGAATAGAACGCCGTGGTTATTTGTATCTGAAAATAGTCAAGCGTTTTTTATTAGTCAACGCGAAGTTTGAATTTATCTAGGTATGTAGAGATTTTTATTATTTTATTTAGACATTACGATCAGTCAAATCGTAAAGCAGAGATGCTTAATAAATTAAAATTTAATACGTGAGATTATTGACATTAACTTGGAAGATTAATGGATTTTATGTGAACGTGTTACATAAAACTGTGTTACATAAAAGGGAGAAAGAAAAGAGAGGGAGGGAGAGAGAGAGAGAGAGAGAGAGAGGCAAAAAAATGAGAAACCAAAACAGCTATTTTTCTCCGATAGGTAACAAATGAAATGTGACATAAACGAGCAAGACGAAAAAACGACGACGCACCAGTTCGTGTAAATCGGTGTTCTCGTTTCGTGTATCTGTTTTACGTGTTCGTAGTTGGCCTCCTTTTTTCACCGACTTTAGTACGAAAAATACAGAGATAATGTCGCATACCAAAGTCAAATGTAATAGCATTTGTAAATACGTGAAAGTTCGACGAGTGATAAAAAAGGGAAAAAAAAGAAAAGATAATAAAAAAGGAAAAAAAGAGAAAGAAAAAAAAAAATCATTCAGGAATTTCTTTGGCGAAGGTTCAACTCGCCAATTTCCTCTCTGCGTCAGGTACATCGCAATTTTCTACGTAGGATTTATTTCCCAGCCCTTCTTCGATCGTGCTTACCCTCGAAACATTATCGAGCGTACGCGATAGCGCCACGACAAACACGAGAAGGGGAAACGAGAACAAGCTGGGAAATACAGGCATTTATCTCACACGCAACGAAATCAATGAAAGGGTTGGGGAAAAAGGATGGTGGGTGATGAGAATGATTCGAATACGATTGTGTCCTTTATCAATATCACAAACTTTTTCTTATTTATGAAAACTTTTAACACGTTGACACGAATGACGGAACGCATCGACCTGCCATAGTTTTAGTTAGGCCAATGCATTTTTCGAACTAATGAATTTTTCTTTTTCTTTACTTTTTTGTTTTTTCTTCTATTAATGCCACAGAAAAAAAATGATGATTTCGCTGTAAACAGACAAACGTTCGTAGAATATCTATGCGATGCAGAAAATGATCTATGTAATTATGCATATGTAGACGTACATTATACATGTATGTATTCGGTTGAACGACGTCAATTAAACCTCTGACGATCGATGTGAATGCATAAAATGCACGTGGAAAAGCATAAAAGCGGACAAAGCTGGGGAATATCGATCGGCCGAGACAAGGTACGTCCGATCAATTTCCTTAGTACTTTCAACAGCTTGCTTCTCTAAAAAGGATCGAGAGAAAAAAGAAAAGCAAAGAAGATTGTTCAATCGATGTAACGTAGAACGTAAGATAAATTTGATTTTGAAAATTAGAGACCGACAAGTTTTTCATCTTTTTCCTAATGTCATTTCCGATTGATTTTTCGTCGTCGATGTTTATTTAATGAATTGGAAATGAAATCGATACGATTTAATAAAGAGGAATAGACTTACCTTTCGGGCCAAGGACACGCACAAATTCTACAAAATGCTAGGCCAAGAGAGAGCAAAAGACTCGCCGCTATTGCCACGTAAACAATGCAGAGATGAACCAGAGAGAATATGTAGAGCGTTTTGTGGCACCATCGGTCGGGATCATAAAGCATTGGTGCATATTCCGGCCATTCGATGCTGAGTATCCAATAATTTCCTGAAGCAAAAGGAAGTCCTACCACGTGATGGAAAGGAAGTAGTTGGGATCTTTTAAAAATTCCTCGTCGACAATTTGAAAATATGTAACGTATTCTACTTTCTTACGATTCTCGATCAACGAGGAAAAGGAGAATTTTATAAAGCATTATAAATTCCGTCTACGTCGTTTATTGAAATTCAAATGGCATTATCATATCACGCAACCGAATGGATTTCAAAAATTTCGAAAAACTTTTCCCAATAAGAAAACCATTTCGAATATCAACGAAGTCGTTGTCTAAGAGTTAATAAATTATTATTTTCTCTCGTTAAAACGCTTCTTTTCTAGTCTATTAAGAAATTTCTTAATATAATTTACCTAAAGCAAACCAACCGACGAGGAAGCACGAGAGAGCTATCGAAATCAACTTCGTGGGTGAAACATAAGATCTGGTATTAGGAACGGTAAGAGCTTCTGGTCTTCTGGAACGTATTTGAGAGTAAAGTGACCAAAACATTCTAATGGTGCCCAAAATACCACCGACCAACATGTAGAGAGGAATGTGTGGTTCCCTCGGGCAGTCTTTGATGAATTGTATACCTGGAGTATAGACAAACTTAACAAATTAATGTTATATACACGGGACACAGGGAAAATCGATGAATGATCAAGTTTGCAATGCTTATATATTTTCGAGCGATCATTTTATAAAAATATATCCTCTCGATTCACTTTTATCCTTTAGCCATTCCTTTTCGAAGGTATTAACGAAAAGTTGTTGCTATTGTTATTCAACATTTTTATAAGACAAATTTTGCGGCGCACAATTTCAACGTAGGAAAACTATTTTTTTTCCTCCGAATGCAAAACATTTCATTTAATCAGTCACAAACAGATTCTGAAAAATTTAACTTAACTTTCTCAAAGGAATTGCAGAGTCATGCATTTGCAGCTGTTTGCATACGGCATATTTATACGTCATATTGATTCTAAGAAAGGCTCTACGATTCCTAGTAGTCCTATTGAAGACGCATCCTGCTTGTAGTAAATCAGATCAAGAATCTATGCCCACGCAGCTATGAGATACGATTATGAAACTTCACAAATAAGTTCGTCCGTTGTAGGCGTGTTACGATATCGGATCGCGTGTTTTAAACCCAAGAGAGCCAATTAACTCGGCAATGATGCCGGATGTCCTCTATAATTTAATCCTTTTGATCCTTATGCTCCTCGGGAAGATTTCCCGAGTGTCAGCGAAGTCGGATAAACTACGTTAGAGTTCATTGAAAATAGAAAAACGGCATTGAATTAGAATGGAACGCGACATTGTAAGTTTTCAATTTCTTTCCCTATGACGGATTTCACCGCAGATTGTAAGACGTTAATTTGACGCTTTGTTCCATTAAGCGTATCATCGATTTATTATTAAAATTATATCAAATTAATATAATACGAGTTATAAGTGAAATGGCGAGGATAAAGGGCGTTGCTTTAATATCAAGATATGCTACGTAAAAATTTTATATTCTTAATTCATGCAAAACTTTATCTGAGCGATTATAATCACCTTTAGTATACAGCAAACGTACAACGTTGGATTACTACCTATAGTACACAACGTATGTACGTGCAACGTATGATGACTATAGTCACTTTTGACTATACAGCGAACGTTCAACATTAGGTGACCATAGTTACCTTTAGTAAAGAAAGGGGTAATGGTATTCCTAATTAATAGCAGTTCTTCGTACGGGTAATGGCCGTCGACAGGTTCGATCCTTTCGTTTCTTTCCGATTTCTTTTTTTTTCTCCTTTACGATAGAAAATATTCTGGCACCATCTCGAATAAATCAATGAGAGATATTTTCCATTCACGGGGGTACAAAGGTACTTTGTCATTCAATACGAAGGACCGCGAAACACGCGGTCGCTTAACACGCAAAACGTCGTCGATATAATGATTAAAGTATTGAACTATTGGAAATTCTTAATAGACTTTAGGGGATCATCAAACGAAGTCGAAACATCAAAAACTATTTTAACAAGCCGCCATTGAAAGTTTTCGTAGAAAATAAACGAAATAATGAAATTACTTATCAATACATAGTAAATAATAATGAAAAGTAAATAAATATTCTGCATATGTTTATTCGAACTAATCGTCGAAATTTAACGAGTTGAAAAAAATGTTAATTTCTCCGGAAATATATTCTATTATGCTTCATGGACAGTTATATATAAATGAATGCGAACAAAAAAGAATTATTTAATCTAATTGAAGCATCTATAAAACGTAGGAGGTGATGTATAAAGACGCACGTAAGTTACACCGGCTATAGATATCTCTTAGCGAGCTTTTCTTTTTTCTTGTTTTTTTCTTGTTTTTTTTTTTTTTTTTTAAAGCTGGATAATCTTATACCTAGGTGTAATAATATCTGTGCCGACATAATCCATAGATTTTTATGAACGGGATTTAGCGAGCGAACCTTTTTCAAGGGTTATCGATTGCAACATTTTTTTATTAATGCAAACAATTTTAGAATCATTATCACTTACCTAGAATAAACATCAGAATAGGCATAGTAGAAAGGACCACAAGACATATGGTAACTATCATTGTCTTGCTAATGACCCTCAGAGCACGGAAAACGAAGTCGCACGTGCCGTTGGCCTCGAGATGGGCGTCCTTCAGTTGAAAGACCACGGAACCGTAGGTCGCCACTCCGAGGTTTGCGGTTTCCAAAGTGCCCTTCTCTGGTATTTTGATAATTCCGGCGCACAATCGACGCGACTCATCGCCTGAAAACTGCAATTCGATTCTATGGATTCGAATTTTCCAATTTTCCTTTCAAAAGAATACCTTGAAACTTATCGAGCTAACATTAAACGTTTCCAATTTTTTATTCTGCCAACGTTGGATGACGTAGAAAGAAGAGAAAAAAAAGTAAATAAATTGAAAGAGGATGGGGGAGAGCATTAAAGAATAGCTCAGAGCGTAACCGAGCGAGAGTCTTTTTCCAGGCGAGAAAATGCATTTTGTAAACAGCGTTACTATCTGGCGCTTGTCGTATAACGAAATTCTTGGGAAGGCATACGAAGGACTAACCTATTTATAGTTTGCACATAACACGCAGTCCTGCACCTAGCAGGATATGTTAAAAAAAGGAAAAAAATATATATATAAAAGAGAGAGAGAGAGAGAGAGAGAGAGAGAGAAAGAGAAAAAAGAAACGAAAGAACGCAACGCTATTCTATCCTTACAATCTCTTTCAAACGCTTAAACGTAGGAATTATCAATTTTTATATCTCAATAATTTAATATCTTCTCATTATAAATCTCGATACTTTTCCTTCAATTTATTATATCGCAATATAAGAGCCGCGTCAAATTTGATTGGAAATATTACTGTGCTTTTCCAAGCGAAAGATAAATAATTACATACCTGAGAAACGGAACTACTTGCTCGTCTGGATTCCGTCCAAGAATTCCCACCGTGTGCGAGATTAATTTGAGCTCCATTCCCTGCTGATCTTACGTTACTAGAATTCATATCCTTTTGACGATAGGGCGAGGAACTACGGCTTCTCACAGTTCCTACGACAAATAAAATAATTCGAAGGCGAAGTCTTGATGTTTATATTTCTTGAATTTTCTCTCTCTCTCTCTCTCTCTCTCTCTCTCTCTCTCGCTTTCTCCGTATTTAATCGATTATCTCGAAAGGTACGAGAAGATAGAGCTCAAGTAATTCACCTTGATCGGCGGAAGCTCTTCTCGGATCCTGCAATGTCAAATTGCTTTTGGTAATTCTTCTATCCAGTCCTCCACCGAGGCTACCCCTGGGACTTCTGTCGATACTCTCCGGAGCTATACTTCCCCTGGGACTTCTGTTCTCCTCGTCGTTGTGACCAGCGATACCTCTGCAATGCCTTTCCAAATCGTTAACGACAATGCTGCCACGAGGAGATCTATTTGCTTGTTCGTGGGTAACTATTGAACCACGTGGACTGCGATTTCCCTCGGGACAAATAGACCCTCTCGGAGAACGATTCGGATCCGGCGCGATTGAACCCCTTGGAGAACGATTAGGATCCGGTGCTATCGAACCTCGTGGACTCTGATTCGCGCATTCGGAACTTAAGGATCCTCGTGGACTTCTATCGATTTCTAACGGCGTCGTCGCACCCGTTCTTCCAGTCCTAACTATTTCAGGACAAATAGAACCACGTGGACTACGATCAAATTCCAGATTTGCTACGCTCCCGCGTGGACTTCTACCCGAGTCTGGTATCAAAGAGTGTCTGGGACTACGGTTCCCCGTTATATTTCCATTTTCTGCCATTAGAGATGTCCTTGAACCACCGAGAGGTATCAGACTATTTCGTGGACTGCGATTGTAAGCCACGTCGGGGACCAATGAATGTCTTGAACTATGAGGAGCGTCCGGGGTCAAACTGTTTCGCGCTGATCTACTTATGTCCGGTACCAGACTGTTGCGTGGACTTCGACCAGAATCGGGTATCAAAGAACCACGAGGACTTCTACAGTAATCCTCAGGTATCAAGGAGTTACGTGGACTTCGAGCAATGTCTGCTGTTAAATTGTTGCGAGATCCACCATAATCCAGATCTGGTAAAATCCTTCGACCGCTGCCCTACAATATACATAAGGAAAGATTTTTCTTTATATCTATATTGGATTTCGATATCAAAAAGTTTTTATTATAAATACAAAGAGTATGAGGATCTTATATATCGTTATTCCTAGAGAAAATAATCTTTCTTTTTACGTAGCACGTCCGAAGATTTCTTTCGTTACGTGTATTACATAGCATTTGTATATTTTTTCTTTCTTCCTTTTTTGCCTTTTTTTCCCCTCCCCCTCCCCCTCTTTTTTTAATTAAAACCGTCTTCCAGTTTTAAGAAACTCAAGTATTTCGTGAACGATGTCGTTCCGTGAGAAACCGTAAAAAAAGTTTACCGAATAAACTGGAGTTACTTCCGTAAAACTTTGGAAAGAGAATTTTTCTGAAAATCAAGTTGCGAGGCATGCATGTACATTTTCTAAAGTGAAATATAAGCTGAGAGAAACCTCTTCCGGCAAATCATTTTCAACATCGAGTGCTATATTCGGTACGACGCTTCCTCTCGGCGATTTCTGTCTTTCCATCGTGCTGTAAGGACTGATCTGAGTCAAAAGATCAGGCTTTTCCGTGGCAACGCTTGCTCGACGTCCTCTGCTCGTAGGAGATGAAACAGGATGACTCGAGTTTGCAACACTTCGTGACGCCCGGCGGCGTCGCGACGACGCGCTTCGATGTAACATCACGGCGACATCTTTTCAATCCTAAAACTTGACAAAGTTCTTTATATAAAAGTACGTAGTTTAATATCATATTAATCTATTATATCTATCTAACATCTCGACCCTCAATTATTTCCCAATGTATACTATATCTATTATAAAACTAATGATAAAAGTCCTACGAAGCGTAGATAACGTCGAATCTTTTTTATTGTCTCGATAATTATAGCACCACCTTCCTCTTCGTATTGTAAAAGCGTGAAATAGCTTTCAACTTGTCGACTATGATCGAAAAAATCATGAGTGAACCTTCTCTGACATTAAATATGATATTGCGTTGACAGGCATATCGAGTGTCGTTTAAAACAATGAAATATTTAGAGAAGTAAATAAATTTGTTGAAATTTTAGAAACAAACTTGACATAAATTGAAAGCTGATACGTTCGTATTATAATCTCTGGTTGGATAACATTCAAACCCGGGGAGGGGAGAGGGAGAGTCGGGGATTTTGCATGTAGGAGTAAGGACAACGATATCTTAATACAAAGCATTCTTGTATGACATATTGCTGGTTTATGAGATAAGCCTTTGGTAACGTATATCCCATGTTCAACCCTCCACATGTAACTCTATGAGATATACTACGCACTCCGTTCTGACATTCGGCTTCCACCTTGCAGGAACTTGTTATTCCATCGTCGACGCACCGACTTCAGTACGTGGGAATAATCTTAGTAACCCGGGGAGCTTAGCAATGAGACGACCATCGTAAGTCCCTCAGTTTCATCCTACAATTTATAGCGTGAATCTGCTAAGCAATGTATTAAAAATTTCATGTATATTTTTAACCATTTCTTTTTTTTTTTTTCTACGTTTTCCTTCTTTATCAAATCCTGGATACTCTCATAAATACGAATATGTAAAATATGTACACACGATCCTTTTAGATAACGATCAGAAACGTGATAATGTTTTTATTGTAATTACTACGGATGATAATCGACGAATACATTGACGAATGTTGCACAAAAAATCGTATCGTATTTATTCACTCGACCATTTATCGGTTTTTAATTTTTCTTGCTTGAATGTAAGAAAGACAAAAAAAAAAAAAAAAAAAAGAAAAAGAAAAAAAAATATACAAATAAACAACGAATTGATCCAATCGTTGGAAAATAATTGAACGTGTTTATGATTCGTTTTACAAAATGCAAAAACAAAAGCAAGAGGTATTACTATTATTCCCATAAAGCATTTAAATCGAGCCACTTTACATAAAGTTGGATTTCAATCAAACGGTCAACAATATGATTAAAGTAAAATGTGGTTGTCGCGTAGCGATGAGACGGCTTGCCGACCAAACAAAGACTTTGGTGGGCGTTCATCGAGCGTCCAAAATACTCTTTGTGTGGTTTACAGACAAAGATTCCATTAACCCGAGTATGGATCAATGACCGTATTTCCAGCTATCTCTTCTCCGGACCATCCTCTTTTGATGAGACTACCTTTTCTTTTACCATATCCTTTAGAATTACCGAAATCCATTTGTTTCTTACGGACCTTTCAACTAGACGAAAAAAAGGAAAAAAAAAGAATGAGAGAGGGGGAGAGAGAGAGAGAGGAAGAAAGATGGCCAATGGCGAGGAAAGAGAAAGAGCCAGTTTAACGGGGCAAAATAAAAGCCAATTTCGAGTAGAACCTGTTCCAACTCTATTCTACTATTTCCTTTCAACCTTTATTGCCGTTAGATTGTTTTAACCAAAATGAAGATTTCATTTCTTTTCTTTCTATTTCAATTACCTCCTTCAAAATATGAATTAACTGAAACAACGTTACTTCATACAGCTTGGCTATATAAATATTTAATAATTGTTTTCATGCGATTTGACGAGAGCGCGAAAATCGTTGATACGAGATAAATCAACTCGATAAACTCGATGTTATTGTGAAGTTTTCGCGATGTGAGTATAATGTGTTTGTCAATTTTAATACAGATATATTCCGTAAAGTATAATTAATTTCTGAAACGAGAAAAGTCGGTGACCTGCATCCAACTATAAATACGGTATTGCTTTATGAGTATGAAGCTTGCAATCCAGTGGAAAAAGCCAAAATGTCAGACACATCTTTGTAAAATGTTAGAGAAAATTCATGGAGCCTTTGATATAAACTTATCATTCATCAGATTTCCTGATTCATATTCTTCATTTATCGCGTAGAAAAAAGAAAAATAATCGTTAATTATATTAATAAATATCGTTTTATTAAATAGAGAAAATATTGATCGGTGATATTTTAATACATACATACTTTCTCATAGATATTGTTTTCTTCGTAATATTCAATTCAAAAGAAAATTTATTTTTATAATAAACGTGTGCCCTTTCTATTTTTGCCTTTTTCTCTTTCATTCCTTTTCTCCCTTTCAACCCAATGAGATTTCTTTGGATCATTATCGCGAAATTCATAATAATTAAAATAAATGATAGGAAATTATTATGCAAAAGTTAGATCATTTGCGACAATTGCGTTGGAGAGAAAAATGTTTGAACGCCCGTTTAAAATGAAGCGTACTTCAAAGCCAATCAATTAAAATGATTTTATCTTTGCAAAAGCGGACACGGTAAAATGGCATATAGGGAAAAACGTTAAATTTACTGAAGCATTGCGTGCCGCGCTTTCACCTGCGCACGCAACAATCACTACCACCTACTATCGTAAACATTAACTCAATTCGTTCGTAGGAATGATTTTATCAAAGAAAAAAAAAAAAAGAAAAAAAATTGAATTAAATAATCCCTTTATTCCTTCTATATATTTAAATAAAATAAATATACTCGGAAGAAATAATGTCTAGTGTTAGTCGTATCTACGTTATAGTAATCAATATCATTGTATGACTGCAATACTCCTATGTATTTTAAGTAGAATTTTAAACAACGGGAAAGTAAAATTAGTTTAAATTAAAACATGGTTAATAGTTATTGTTCTTTTCTAATTATCACGACAAATTAAATGAGTCTTAATCATTAACGCACGTATAAGACATAAATATATTAATCAGTATTATTTGTAATCTACTTAAGTAGATGTTATACGCACGCGTATGTCCAATTAAATTCTGTGTACCAATGAAAATGATTTATGATTACATACAAAATAATTGATTACGATTTAACCAGTTGAAAAACGATTTTACTCAATAAAAGCTCTTTTTGAGACTTAATTACAATACGAAAACGTACGAAAAAATAAAAAAGATTCTAGTTATTTATTCGTTTATCTAATTAAATTAATAAGCGGCAAACATCTGTAACAATTATTCATCGTTCTTCTGTCATAATAATTAATGAAAGATACAATTGAAATCTGATTTAAAGTTTTGTTTCAAAAATATCAGTTATTCTATTTTCTATAGTTTCATCTCTCTACTACTTTTCCGATGTATTCGTTAATTACACAATTCTAGCTGAAAGATCGAAGCGTCAGAAAATGTAATCGCGAAATAGATAACATCAGCGTTAATGGAAACACGTTAACTTCCATTCACGGTGACGATACTAGATGATCTATTAACTAGATTATTTTTATCGTTACCACGTAAACATAGAATTTGCTCATTCCATTAGCTTTCTTCTAATGCACATCAGCGTAATGTATAACGTTAACGTACAACAGCTATGACGGCGCTGAATGTTGCGACGCTAAAATTTTTGACAATAAGTTATTTACACGTAAACAATTTGATATGTGTCATTGATCGAACAAAAATTCTATTTACATAATAGAAAAATAAGAACTCGGAAGCTCACCTCCGAGTAAAAAGACGAATGAATTTTTGGATTCATGTTCCTTGGAACGGGCTCCCTACCGTGTGTTTACAATATCACTGAGGAACTCACAAAGCTGATATAGAGATATTTCACTATGAGCAATGGTAATATCTTTCGATAATCAACAATCAGCGGAAAGAACGACAATAGAAAATATGTCGTGGCATAGATGTTAAAATGAAAAATCTTTCGAGAATAAGACAGGGTTAGTCGTGTTAAGGGGGGATTCTAAATTATCTCACGACACAAGTTACCTCGTTCGCGGCTTGAATCCAACTGAACGGCCCGTTCGAAGGAGCGCGAGCATATAACGCGGGGCGTATCACGGAACGTACAGACCCTCCCTCTAGCTCGTTCTCACCCCCGAATCATCTTTATCCATCCTCACCGTCCTTCTTCCTTTACCTTACGGGATCCCTTCGATTCTTCTACCTACGCATCTCTATAAGAGTGTGTTATCTACGCGCGCGCTCACACACACACACACGATATATATATATATATATATATATATATATATATATATATATAGAGCTATGAGTATATCGAAACAAGAATGTGTCCAATGATAGTGTTATTTTCGTTGTGGAAAAAGCAACGTCATCGACCGTTTGTACTCGACGGTTCCTACATGGTTCACACTCGAGTTACTTAAAGATAGCTGATACATATGCATTTAAAAAGTATGATCCATTTCGCGCCAATACTCAGCCTTTTTCCATACTTTGCTAAGAATCCTTTCGCAGTCTATTTATAAAAATTGATTTTTATTGAAGGGCGAGAAGAAGGCCGAGCGGTGCCTCCCTCGACGAAATTCCGATTTTGCGCAGATTCAATGCCACCAACGTTCTTCTATCTTTGTTGATTTCTCTCCTTTCTTTTCCCATCCTTTCTTTTTGATCGTACGTCCGTATTAAAAAAAATTCTTTTCGATTACGTTGCGACATATCGTATCGTAAAGGTACTCAAACGATGTAAATAAAACGATCGATTTTGGGAATAATCTCTGGATTGGATCTTAAATGGCTAAATTAACATTTCAAATTTTTTATGCGATATTCGATCATATTAATTACTTATGATATATAGTAATGATACATGTATTCCAAATAACGTATAACATGACAAAATTATAATAGAATTTTGAAGTGCACTCGATTAAAAATCTTTTTATTGGATAAAGATGAAGGAACGAAAACAAATTAGGATTTCATTGTTATGTTTCAATATTTGATTGAATTATCATCAAATTATCTTCTCGTAATTAATAATCGTATATTAAAACAGATATAAAACAGGTTACATTCAATATTATATTACGTTTATATGTCGTTATATCGTATTAATAAATGTTTTAGTAACGATAAATTAAAATATTTGATAATTATAATAGGATTTTTATGTAATCGAATTTAATAAAAGCGTCACATTTAACTCGTGAAATTAATTTCATTTCAATATTCAAAGATTATCATAGCAGAGTGTTTGTAGATGTATTTATAAATCTAATAAAATAAATCGAGAAATTAAAATGCAGGAGAGAGCATGTAAACAAAATAAAAATCCATTGTATGCCCGGCGGCGGCCTTGAACCGAGATGACACTATCGGTTCATTCAAACGTAGTACTCGATATTGTAAACAGCCTTTCTAAAGATGCGAACAATCGAGCACATTACTATTTCTCTTTTTTTTTTTTCTGCTATCTCCTTTTTCTCTTAAAAATTTATGAATTAATCTTGATACGTAGTAACTTCCACGTGGTAAAATCGATATTTCCTACGATATTAATATATTCTTTATTGTACGATTCAATGAGACACGAAAGTATTTTCTTTTTCAATCATTCCTTCGCATTTACAATTGGAATTATGTCTGATTAATCATTTTCATTCTATAAAGATTCAATTTGATAATTACATTTCCTTGTTTCATTTATCAAAGAAGTCAATTATCCAATCTTATCAAAAAGAACAAGTTATAATGTTTGCATTATGTCTATTATTTCATACTTGTTAAATTTAATGTATAAAGAATAAATAAAAAGATTAATTTTCTGGCGATAAATAAATTCTAGAATACAAAAAATAGAGTAGCCATCATTATAACGGCCACTTGTTGGACCGAATCGTTTGAGGATATTTTATTTTTCTTTTTGAAACGAATTGTTACATATTAACGCATTCATTATCACGATACGGTATTTCAATTTTAAATGCCGTACATACGATAAATTAATAATAATGCCAACGTATCTATAATTAATATATTTTCATAATCTTACTTTCTTCGTATTAAATTTCTTTTTTTCTTTTTTTTTCAAATTAATCTCTTTCTAATTTAGAATTTTCAGCATTAATCTTCAGCATTAAATCCATTTATTTCTCTCAATGCTTTCTGCGTTTCCATCTATGACCATTATTTTCTTTCTCGTTGGTTCGAATTGACAGTAGCACTTATTTTATTGTAGATTGTCTGTTGAAATATTTGGTTTATCTACTAGTTGTAGACTTATTGATTCAAAATATTGGTTTCAAATTTTTATTTTACTTTTTATTTTAGCTGTTGATTCTGGCCATTACTTTTGTTATTTAACTTCAGTCTAATTACTGGTCTTGATTTCATTGATTAATTGTATTGTTAATTCTTTACCCGAATTAAATGAATATATGTTATCATTTTAACAATTCGACGAAGAAATTGTTTCGATAAAACTATAAAATGAATTTTTGTATCAATTTATTAACGTGACTGAACAAAAAATATCCAATATATATGTATATATATATATATATATATATATATATATATATATATATATATATATAGCGCTGGCTATTTTTCGCAATTCATTTTATTTTCTTACAGTTCAAAAAATAATATAATGTTTTGCGTAAACACTGACTCTTCTGATTGCATTCCACGTAACTGAAAACTTGTGCAAATAAAAACTGAAAAGTGAAAAATAACAAGGGAAAAAGTATACAATAAACGTTCGCTAAAATAAATTTTGATGTGTACACACACTTTTTTTAATCAATTTTATCAAAAAATCTATTATAATATTAAAACCATTGTCATAATTATGTTTTATATTACATCGAGAATTTAAGATGGGTAAAAGAATGAGTAAATAAAACAAGATCCTGGTCAGAGGTCAAAGCTCGCTACAATTTCATTCAAGCGTAGTACTCGTTACTATAAAGAGTTTTATCGAGCGTACTTAATATTTGATGCTTTTCTTGAATTTTTGAATATAAAAATAGATATTCTTATCTTAAAACATTTATCGTAAAAAGGATAAAACATAGCAGATATAAATAATTTTGACCATTATCGAACTAGTTTTCTTTTGTATATCGACGAGTGAACATCGAAATTCTTTCTTTCTAAAAGTGAAAATCTAATACTTCCCGTAATTTGAGATTTATTTAATCTATATATAATGTATTCGAAGTACAGTAAAATATTATTTAAACAATGAGATGATTAAATTTTGAATGTGAAGTCATTTCTTTCATTTAATATCAACTAAAATAAAATCAATAGCTAAAATAAAAATCAAAAAGTTGTGAAATAAAAGCAGTGTTTGTTCGTGCTTATAGAACAAGTACATTGGAATATATGCAAAATTCTCCTTTTGCCATGCGTTACGCGAAAAGAATATTTGTTTAGATTATAATCGAGAATTTATCATTTTCTCTTAATTTTTTAATATCAAATTCAATTAAATTAAATTAAAAATTTTTCCTTTCATAAATTATGACTATTTAAAATCACAAAATGAATAGAAAATTATGAGGAAGATTTTATTTTCACAGCGATTAAGGGAAGAGATTAAGAATCAAGAATTTTTCATTTTTGATAATCCAATACGAGTTATGAATATTTGAAAATGAAATTTATAAGAACATTCGTGATATACGAGAGTTACGAAAATGAGAATGAAATTTATAGCCATAAGAAATAAATCTTGCGGTACTATCGATTTTATTTCATTATATGCAGCAATGTCTTCGTATGCAACAATCTTCACGTAATGAGATCTGAATCGGTACTACTCGCGATATAAAAAATATAATATTATTACTACCAAGGGAATGGCTGTATATAATAATAAATATAAAGAATTATTCTAGATTAATTATCTTAATTTTTCTTTGGTGAGGAGCCATTGAGTGAGGGAGGGACTTTGAACGGTTCCATCGTATTATCCTGCTTTCTTTTTTTTTAATTTCTTTTATTTTTTTTAAATTGAATCATTGAAAGATAGATCTACGAAGGATTTTCATTTCAGTAGCTATGTACTATATTTTCTATTTTATTTATGTTCATCATCATATCTACATATTTCAGATTTTCTTTCTACTATGATATTTTATATTATATTTTATATCTTATGTATTTCATCGCAAATAATGACGAGCTAAAGATTGATAAGTAATAAATAGCTAAAATATCACTCACAAATATATTATATTCTAATTAATTTGTGATTACTACTTTGCTGATTTTTTTCTTTTATCATATCTTAAGATTGTCTCTTGATGACATCTTCATCAAATTCTCTTAAGAACGTGGATGTTTTATATTGTTTTTTTTTTAATGATCCTTTAAATTATAACATGTACTTTTTAAAATTTAATCTATGATCTATCTGTAATACTATTCCCAACAATTTATAATTGAAATGATTCTACTGGCAAATATTAAAAGATTTCATTTTAATAAGAGATTAATGCTATCACAGATTTCACAGATTTTATCTTACTACTTCTATCGTTATCTCAATATTTACTTTGGCATCTCTGAATGAGTAAGACTTTGTATATTTTGTAATATTGAGCTATCATAATCATCTAGCAAAGATCATTAAGAATATTTTTAACATATGATCTGTACAGTAATGTGTACAGTAGTTTCTCACCATTAGAAATGCCTTTCTCTTTCTCTTACAAGTTCAGCGAGAAAATCTTCTAATATCTGAATCATCAGAAAATGTAGGAATCCTATAACAAATAATTATGATTATTTTGTTCCAAAGATTAATCAGTTTATGAATATAAACATTTCTAGATTACCAATTTATATTTCACATTAGGAATTTTATTTTGTCTGCAGAATATTTTTCCTTAAGGTATTGCCAACTTTCAGTTTATCTTAGATCATATTTCTAGTTTCATGCACACTGCAATTATTAACTTCCTTGTTACAAAGTAATATTTTACATTCAATACTATATGCTCTTCTTAGCAATATCTGCGAATAAGATTAATGGCTCTTGAACATACTTCTTTATTTCCATAGAACGCCCCATCTTTCTTCTCTTTCGGACAATTTTCCTATACAAACAAATTTAAAAAAGTTAAAATATTTTAATAAGCTTTATATATAATAGTTAAAAAATATCTTAATTTTTATAAAGTACAAATCATATACTTACATGAATCTTCTTTGATAGAATGAAACCTTTATAGGTTATCATCGATCCACTTAGAATATGGAACAATATCTTTTTGATCCGACTTGGCTTCAACAATATATAAATATATCACTTTTTTCCAAAATTTTTTTATGTATCACTTTGCTTTCACATTATGCCATATTTATTATATTTTTATATTTTCAATTTTTCCCATACAACAAAATATTATTTCCATTACCGTCATGATAAATTTAAAAAATATCGGGTTGTCTTATTGTACTTCCTAGGTTAACCGCTAGATGGATCGATTCTGCAAGAGTTCGTACCGCCATCTATGTCTCCATTTTAATCGTTAAAATTTCCATTAGTTGGTGAATGTTGGGTTAGTTGTTGAATTGTTTATTTTATTAAAAATCTAAATATATTATATTTATTTAAGTACATTGTGAATATATGTGTAAAAATATATGATCAAGATTTATGATGTATGATTAACATAATTACCGATTTTGATTTATAAAATCGATTATTATAATGTACAAAATTCTTGATATTACTGCTTTGTTATCGTCACGTATATTCATTATTTAAATTCGATTAATTAATATAAATATTGTTTCTGCTATCTATAGCGAATTAGTAATGTCATCAATTAATGTATTTCATACACTATGTGATTATATCTTTCACTTTATATTTTTGACATAGTAGTTAGGTTATTTATTATTATTATTTTTTTTTATTATATTTGTTTCTTTATGTATTATTTGTTCAAAATATTTCTAATAATTTTATACTTATATATTTCTTTTTTCAGATTATATATGAGATCAGAGTGAAAGAATGTCAATCAAAGAAATTTTAACTTTTCTACTAACAATACTATAATGGAAGGAACATCGTCGCAGAATAAAATTTATAAATTTACATAATTGTCAAGGAAGAAGACGATATGGTGTTATAAACAAATGTTCGTAATATATTTATTACATACATATGTATGATCATAGATAATAATACTTTAAATATATAGTAATATGCATAAGTGCTTATCTTTAATCTTTATTTGTTTTAGGGAAAATGTATAAATAAGAAGAAGATAAATCATAGCTGAATTCCAGTTCAATACAGAAAAAGTGGAAGAGAGCGAGAGAGAGAAAGAGAGAGAGAGAGAGAGAGAGAGAGAGAGAGTATGTTATCTTTAATTACTTGTATTAGCATCAATATTTTATTTTATTTTCACATACATGGTTTTAGTAAATTGATGGATAAATTAATGACATGCAAAATTGAAAAATTGAAATATTACAAAATAATTTATAAGATATTCAAAATATTAGATATACAAAAATAAATGTAGATGAGAGCAAAAAAAAGTTGACCAGATTCTATTGAAACATAAAAGAGATTATATGCAGTTATTGTAGACAGATGCATTGTAAAAGATATAAAATCAGAAGAGAACAAGAAATTTTTTAATGATGCTTCCAAAATATATTTTTATTTTATATATTCTATGCATTATAGTTTTATAATATAATTTTACATTATAGTTTAGTAGTATTATTTATTATCTCTTTTATTTTTAGTAATGATAAAAATAAAACATTGTTACAGGATATAGAAATATATAGAATATTTTTATTTGATCATAAGGCATTTTAGTTTTAAAGAAACAAAGAAATAATCTCACCTCTCTCAAAATTCTATTGTAAGTATAACGATAATTAATTACTGGTAGTTATATTGTTTGTATTTAATCATTACAAATGTATTATTTTAATTTAATTATTACAAATTATATCTTATAGGAACCTATAAAAAGTGATATGATCAAATATGATGGTATTGAAGATAATTTAAAATATAACAAATTTCTTAGCCTATTGCTAAATTAAAAGAAGAAAATGAAAGATTATTTGTCTACACCTAAGAAACTTAAACTTGATATAGGAAACAAAAAATTTCAATAGGATATAATTGTAAATACGTCATAATATTGAAATTATTATGATAATCTACTTTTTATGATTATATTTATATTTAATAGTAATTTACAAGTATGTATCTATAGTATACCATTTTTCTTATTCTCTTGTACATGAGTTCTATGTGATATTATCTATTAAAAAGTCATAGAATAAATGAAAGAAAGTAAAATTATTGATATTCGAAGTGCCAATATTAACGAAATTGAATATAGTACAGTTTATATAAATATACTTTTGATGCTTTTATTTATATGATTTATATAAGATATATTTCGTATATAATATGTACATGATAATGTATTGAAAAAGAATTAATTTTATAAATATGAGAATGTTGGCTCTATAATTGTCATATTATAGATAACTCATATATAGTATTGATTCGTTCATATGACAATATTTTATTAGGAAATTAATCACATTTTTTTTTGTATTTTTATTTAAAATTTTTATTTGTTATAGGAGTTACATTTATTACTAATATTTGTTTACTAATATTTATTCTCTCTTTGTAAAAAGGGGGTACATATACATCGTGATTAATACAAGGATCACTTGGGAAATCTTCATGCATTAGAGTTTTTCTATGACGGACAAGTACAAATATCGGTGTGCACCATCGTTGATACCGTCGTATTTCATCAAGCATCCGACATCGTACAAGAAATATAAAATATCTCCAATCCTTCTACAGATTTATAAAAAGATGAATAGAAGGAATAACACCTTTACTTACTCGACTTTATGTTTTTTACAATTGTTCAAATTTCGCACACACACACACACACACACACATACACATATATATATATATAAGCGATACGTATTACATAAAAATACTATATACATCGATATCATCTGAAGTCTTAGGAACGATCAGTATCTAAATCGAAAAGAGTGAACGAAGTCTAATATCCTCGCAACGAATCGTTCAAATTCTTGAGACGAAATGCTTCGATCTACGGAGAAATCCATTTCAGATATCCTCTACGGAATTGAACACGCGGTGAGTATCTTTCTCAACGAGAAACTTTAGAGTACCATTCGATCATGGTTTAAATTTTCTATTAAGTTAAATGAAACTTTATACAGAATATTCTACAATCGTAAAAAATGAAATTACAAGAGATTCAGCTGATATGAACTCTAATATCTATCTAATGGAATTTCAAGCTAATATAGCATTCTATTATTGTCAACTGAAATACTCATGTGAACCGTGAAACCAAATTGTTTAACACTATACCACCCAAGCAAGAATTCATCGACATTTACTATATCTGCTTGACGTTCTCGATCAATCCTATTCTTGATCTGTCCATTTTCATTAAGGCCTGTCAATCTTTGGATGGCCTCAATTAAATCGGCCAACGGCCGTGTTGTGATCGTTATCGTCGAAATCTGAAAACGAATATGTTAAACGAATCAAGCTTGTTTATAATCGATATAATGTTTGACTCGTGCGTCGTTATAAGTTGCTCGACGTAGTGCGTCGTATATGTGTAAATGGAACATTCCGTGAGACGGAAGTACATCGAACTTATCTAAATTGAGTCCTCGTAGTGCCACCGCAGTTAGATTAGTCTCTCCTGCATATAGATCTGTCCGTCTGTCCGTACATTCATCCTGTCTGTCTGTCTGTCTGTCTGTTCGTTCATCCGTCCGTCTGTCCGTCCGTCTGTTCGCCTGTCCGTCCAACTATCCGTCCATTCGTCTGTTGGTCCTCGCTATTCACTACTGTTACCGTAGGAACTAACGTGTCACTGCATGCACCGTGAAATTAAATGATCTCGATTAACAGAATCGACCGGAGTACGCGTTCATCGCCGCTGATGAACAAAAGTGGATTTTCGACAATCTCTTGGGAAAATATTCCTTTCCTCTTTTTTTCTTTTTTTTTCCTTTTTTTTTTTTTTTTTTTTTTACACACCATGCAATTATTTAACGTTTCGATCTCACGAAAATATCCATGGTTGCATAATCTCTCATGCACGTATGGATCAAAGTGTACAAAAGAATAAGGACGCACACAAACGAAATTTTAGATGTAAAGAAAAAAAAAAAAAAGAGAATAAAGAAAAAGGACAAGCAAATAAGGACATATTAGGTTCTTTTTTTTTTTTGTTTTCTTTGACAAATATCAGAAATCGCGCAAATTGAATATAATTATATGAGAAGGCGATATCATGATATTCTCGAAATCCAAGCAGTCGTTCTGTTCTGAAGAAAACACCCGGTATATTGAATAGGATGAAGAATTGTGGTGAAAATGCGACAGAACTTCTAAATCATTATTTCATTTACCACCGGTTGGCACTTTACTTTTCTTGTATACATAGAAAATATACAAACATATTACTATATATAGTATATATACTCACGTACACTTCTTTCATGGTCTATTTTATTTTTGATACCAATAAATCGTCTAGCAGTACACGCACATGAAGTTTCACTTAAAGCAAATTGGAATGGTCACGATTGATTCCAGACATATGTAATATCGTTAAATCTACCGTTAGATCTATCGTTAAATTTCTTGAAACTACATGGAAGTCCTAAACGACTTTTCAAATATTATAATTTCTTCATTTTCTTCATTTTGTGAATGATCGATCGTGAAGATTTATTCGTTTTAAGCTTTTCATTATCAATGTCCATTCGACAATACGCGTCGCTATTTTTTTTTTTCTTTTTTTCGACCATAGGTTGCAATAGCAATATCGTTTCGACTCTCAGAGCTTCGTATTGTTCGTAATGAAAAAAATATATATTAGTTTATATGCACATATATATATATATATATATATATATTTTTTTTTTTTTTTTTTTTTTTAATCGAATAGAATCTACATATATCGCCATCCGATAGAGATACGAGCTTTGTTATATCGTCAAACTGACAATCATGAATATATCCAGTGATTGACGCCAATCGAGTTAAATAAACTAGATAAATTTTACGTTTATCTTCGATTTAGCCTGTCAAAAAATTCATTGGTTTTTAAAAATCAAATAAATAGATCAAATTTCTGTGATAAATCGTACGAATTTGTGGCAATATTTGATCCATATATTTGTTTCTTCGTAGAGCTATAATGGAAGATACTCGTGCAAGATTTCTGGTGTTAGATCGCGATCATAAATGCACGACTGGGATCGTCTTTTATTATCTCATATATTTTCAAGTACGTATAAGACTACAGTCATCAATCTTCATCTGCCCGGCAGTAATTTAATTAGTTCACGTTTTCCGCTGTATAAATATT